CGTGCTCCTCGGCTCTTCGGCTTTACGCCACCCGAGACCACGCCTGCGCGACCAGCCCGCCTGCGTCGTGCTCCTCGGCTCTTCGGCTTTACGCCACCCGAGACACACCTGCGCGGTCAGCCCGCCTGCGTCGTGCTCCTCGGCTCTTCGGCTTTACACCACCCGAGACCACGCCTGCGCGGCCAGCCCGCCTACGTCGTGCTCCTCGACTCTTCGGCTTTACGCCACCCAGGACACACCTGCGCGGCTAGCCCGCCTGCGTCGTGCTCCTCGGCCCCTCGGCTCCATTCTCCCCGAAACTGCGTTCGTACGGCCAGCCCACCTGAAGACAAAAGCCATGCATCGGACTCCCTTTGCGTGACAACCGACGCATAGCTTCTTTCGGGGGGGGAATATGATAAGGGTAAAAATGGCAATCAGTCTCAGGACAATGTCAGCTGCTCCAGATGATGTCACGCACCTCGGAATTGATCAGAACGCTGACCGAGGCACATTAATATCCTGCAAAAGCCAAGTCCAACACGCTACGCCATTGCTATTGTCAGAAGCACCAGCCTGCCCCCTGCAAGCGGGCAGCTCAGGCACAGTAAGCTTCCCTATAAATACCCTTGCATGCTAAAGGAGAAAGGGGGAGGGATACACACAACCCCTAAGGGGACTCACTCCAAAACACTTTTTCTCTTGAAACCCCCTCCACATCTTTCTCTAACTTGATCGTCGAAGGGGTCGGGCCGAGCTCCCGGCCCGACCTGTGTGCAGGTGCGAGACGGTGTCGCCTCTTCCCGACGCTGCGGCGGAGCTTTCTCCCGACCCGACCTGCCGACCCGACCCGCCGACCCGAACCACCGTGCTCGGCTGCCGGGAGACCCCGAGGGACGTCGCCCGAGATCCCCGACATCCGGACCCCCGAACCGAGCCGCAACGGCCCCGAGGCCACAGCTTAAAAAGTTACTTACCGTAACACTTAGTATCCTCAAATTGTTAGATTGGATCCTGGATTGAATTGATGATGAATTATAATATTATTGATTTTAGACAGGGTCACACTTCTTGAATGTGATAATTCGGGGGGCGTGACAATACTAAGCAAATGTATTGCAGATTGTTGCAAGAAAATCTGAAATGCTTGCCATATGCGTAGTGCTTTCCTTAGTGGTCCTGGTCATCAATTAGCATTCCGATAGAGTTGACAAGAGCTAGACAATTGATATAGCTGAAATTTGATAACCATATTTATTTGCATTTCATAGATTCTATCAAAAGTTTCGTAAATAATAAAGGTCTTGAGGTATTCAGTAAAATAAAAAATCATATAGCTGAAAGTTTGCCCGTTGTTGGCACTGCAGGAAGTAATTCGAAAAACCCCCAATAAGTAAAATACCTTATCAAGCTTTTCGTAGGAATCGGCACTCTTTGGGATCAACCCGGCGAGCATCTCTGGTGGAACATTGTTGACAAGCCAGCGAGGCCATCCATCGACCAACTCATCTGCGTCACCGACCACCGGCTTCACCAGTTGGGACGGCGGAAGCAAGGTATTTTCAGGCACTACTGCCTTGCCCTCGCTTTCTTCTTCGCACATCACGACCGAGACCCGTGCTCCGCGGCCCGGCGGCGGCCGGATGACCAGGGGCTGTTGCTTGTCGTCGTCGCGTCGGACGGGGAAGTAGTCGTTTTCGCGCATCATCACGTTGAGGTGGCTCTCTCCGAGGGGAGAATCCATGGAGGGGCCCTTGGCCTGGATGCAACCCATGACGATCGAGCGGCGTGTGGTTCCACCGAAACGGGTGTCGGGCGACGGGCGACACGAACGAGAGAAGGCGGAGACATGGAGGAGGGAGGGGGAAGAGAAAAAGAGGGAGATGGTAATATGGGGAGTTGGGCCGGCTCCGCTTGGCGTTGCAATCCTCGTCGACTTTGTCTTCTTTCTCCTCTCGCTGCGGATGGATATTCTCCGTCGCTTTCGTCGCTCCCGTTTGGTTCTTTTCGTCGCTGCTGGGTACGCTGTCACCAGGTGGAGGAGCAGAAAAGAAGCAGGGAGGATGCGCGTGGCCGTGTTTGGAGACGAGAGATCGCCCGGAGACGGCCTCGAGCTTCGGCGGCAGCAGTTGACGACTGCCGTCCCGTCTTTGCTGCAAACACTTGGTCGGCATCAGCCCGACTTAGTATTATTATTATTAAAATGCGTTAAAATAATCTAATAAGAGCGATTTTT